TATATGTTGATCCTTTTCCTTTCTGGATGGATGAAAAAGGACCGACATATAGTTCTGACTTCTGACTAACAACTCATTGTAGACCAGGCCTTAAGCTAACGCCACGCTATGCGCGGTTCGTAATTCGTGAAGAAAAGCTCCTTATTGCGAGAGCAGGTTTTCAACATCCAAATTCAATCGCAATCTTTCCTCGCGACGATTACACGATCTAACAATGAATTTTCCACTAAACAGATCTCACTCCAGGGGCAAGAAATTCATGGTGGAGCCAACAGACGATATCTATTAATTTAGTGGAAACCCCGCTGTCTCATAATAGGGAACTTTCCTCTATATTCATGAATAGTGTGAGGGGAAAATTCGTTGATTCGCCGTGCGCAATTCGCCATTCGCAGCGATTCGCCGGCCGTTTTTGACGAAAATGATGGTTTCTTGACTAATATTGAAACTTGACTAATTGTAGGCTTATGATACAAGTCCTGTGATAACAGGCAAATGTTAACACGAAGCGACAAATAACAAATTACGAGTGATAAACTGCGAATCGTGAACAGTGTGATAAGCAATGGCTCATTCAGACTGGACGCGATGAGCGATAAGCGACGCGCGATACCCAATGAGCGTGCAGTCATATAGGAAAACTGTACGCTCATTGGATAGTCGCTCATCGCGTCCAGTCCGAATGAGCCATAATAACGAATGTCCAACGAATTTCTGCGAGTCACAAATCGCGCGTTACGAATTGCGCATAGTGCGGCGCTTCCTATAGTGTGCGCTCAGTGCGCACCAGTTTCGCCAATGAAACACGCTATATGTTAGGAGGTCATTCGTCTCGGGAGTAATTTTGTTCGAGACGAGATGCACCGTTTGTCAGATTCGCGCCTCTATCGAGCGTCCCCGAATTAAGGTCGACAATTAAAAAAAAGATGCACTGAAAAAAAAATTTTTCGCCACCGTAGCTAATCATAGTTTGGTAAAAATATTTTACTGCCATAGCTTATATAAATTTCTAAAGCACAGCAAACGGTTTGCTGTCGCACTTAAAGGCCTGTGTCCACGATGCTAGAGCTTGGTCCAAGCGACCTTTATGGAATAGCTGCAAGTTGATTGGCTACACATTTCTCGAAACTTGGACCAAGTTCTAGCATCGTGGACACGGGTCTTGATGCAACAGGCACAGCGTAGCTAAGTATTTAGCTATCACAACTAAATGCTGTCCATATTTTACAACTGAAATTTAGTTGCCGCGTGCAGTTTTCAGCCACATTTTTCTTTCCGCGTGCGTGTCACGCAAGAACGCCGTTCCGAAGAGTAAATACGCTCCCGTCTCAATTTCGTGCGATTCATAGAAGGTACCTCCGGAATTGGCACACGACGTTGCGCCAGTAAGATTCTAGCACGCACTGACCTTGCTCTCGGAAAGCGGCGCGGGATAATTGTGCAGGCGGATGTGCAACATCGTTCGCGTTTGGCGCGCGCGCGTCTGCGGACGGGCCGCGTGTAATTCCGCTCCTGAACGAAACCCTTGAGGGAATCGTGCGCCGACGTATACTTAAGACACGACGAGAAGGACCACCGTCCGCGAGGCGCTCCGTCTCGGCGGAGTTCGCAACGTTTCGCGCGAGTTAACTCGGGGGGGCAGCTGATTAAATTCCTACCCAGGCGATCTATTTTCGCGTCTCCGTCGAGCGCGAGCCGCGGCTATTTAAACATTTTTACGCGCGAACGTCGTGTAACGATCGCGTTCAACTTGGACTTAACACACGCACGCACGCACATTTCTCCTTCCTTTATTTCTGGACGCGACGATTTCATGTTACTGTGATAATAAGAAACGGGTATCTCGGGAGTAAGCTTCTCGCTCGATTAAGGGGATCCTAAAGCCACTCGCGAACCCGATCAGTGTCGAGAAGATAGGAGACGAAATTAAAAACGTCAATTATCGACATTTTTAATTCCAAGTTCTACTTTAGACGTTACGATGTGTTCATGATGCTAGAATTCGGTCCGAGAAATTTGTAGCCAACCAATTTGCAACTTTTACGAAGAGCAGCAATTTTATTAGCTACACATTGCTCACACCGATATTTTGGATCGAATTCTGGCATCGTCAATGGCACCATGGCTTTACTGACAATCTGACAGCTGTTTGGCAGCGACCTCTCTCGAAAAAGCCTGCTGCTCTTTTTCTCTTCTTCTTGGATTTCAGGATTTGCGTTTATTAGAAGTAATCTTTTTTTTCTAGGCCTAATGGCCTAGTTATTAATCTTAGTTCTATTGCACGATATTGTTCTTATATGTTGTCCCTGGAGTACGCTGGTCTCATTTTGTATATATTTATTGTAGAATTCTTGTATCAAGCACACGGAAAAAAACATTTAGCTGCTGTAGCTAAAACTTAGTAAAATATGGACAGCTATCACAACTAAAAATATTAGCTGTCCATATTTTACTAAATTTTAGCTACAGCAGCTAAATGTTTTTTTCCGTGCAAGTATTGTCATGAAATGTACAAAAAATTAGTAAAATTTTTTTTCGTTTTTTATATAAAGTCAACCAGCATAGTCTAAATTTTGCTACGTACTTAAATTCCGTAAAAGAGTTTTGCATTTCTATAAAGCTAATTAAAAGATTACTTCTAACAAAGACTCGATAAAACAGACGGCTTTAGGATCCCCTTAAGGATTAAACTTGTTGCAGGCTTGAACTGCGCCATGACTAAAGACGCTTTTCCCGCCACTAAATGTTAAGGTCCTTTTCAATATCGCGCGAGATCTCGTATATATAACGAAACCCCGAGGCTGTTTAAGTCCATTTCGTTCAGTTTACACGTAAATCCGAGCCCTCTTCAACTAATCTCCAGAATGTCGGAGAAAGTGCATTTTCTCGAATCTCGAAGGTTTCTGTCTTTAGAAAGAAGCTTTCTAATTCAGTATGTTCCTTGTTTCAGAGCAAGACACAATTTCAGGGACGTCGCACCGTCCACCAAGCTTCTGCTTTCGCTTAATCCGATTGTTAACATTGTCTCAAAGTGAAATTCTACAATGATAGCAAGAACTTTGTGTCGCTTGTCCGGCGTATAATTAGACAAGTACAAAAGTAAGATGAAACGTTCGGTGAATCAATATCGTTTCCAATAAAAGAATTGTGCGAGACGCACGTGAATTTCGCCGACGAGATTCGTCGCGGAATTCAAGATTCGTACGACTCCTTTATGAACTTTTTCTTTTATAACGTCGAGTATTTAAGTATTTTCTTGGTTCAATTAGATTTTTGGGCACTCTCTAAAAGTCAATCAGTGAATTATCACCGAAACTGATTTGCAGCTATAAGGAAAGTCTCCTATTATGAGACAGGCTCCTACTATGAGACCGCGGGGTTTCCGCTGAATTAATATCATCTGTTAGTTCCACCATGAATTTATTGCCCTTGGAGCGAAATCTGTTTAGTGGAAAGTTGATTGTTAGATCGTGTAATCGTTGAGAAAAATGATTGATCATTGAATTTGGACGTTGAAAACCTATTATCTCATATTATAATCCTGTCTCATAGCAGAGGGCTTTCCTCTATTACTGAAAATTGTAGTGGTACACTTATAATTGAAGATCAAACGAGCTTACCCGTAAGCGAAGTTCGATCGAAATTATATGAAGAGCCTCGTTCGAAAAGATTACAACGTGCACCTCGAAGAGGTGCTACATGTTGTAATCTTGAGAACGAGGCCTGAAATATAACTGTAATACAGTGACTATTCACTGTTTTCAGCGATAATCCACCGACTGACTTTTGGAGAGCACGTAGAATACAAGAAAGGGCCTTACTTAAGAAATAATACCGGGAGGGTCCGGAAAGATTAATCCGTTTTAACGATCGATTCGACCTAAAGCAGAATAAATCCAACAGAATCGGAGTAAGTTGCATTCGATTTGCAGCTGCGTCCCGTCCCTTCGCGGTAACGGAACTTCAACAACAGGACACTTGTCTCAGCGGATCTGGGCTAATTAATGTTTTTTTATACCACGCGACTGTTGAATCGAGATCCTGATGCGATAAATACTTGCGCTAATTTAACCGGATACGCTACGGAAAGAGTTGTTACGAAGAATACGCGCAGAAGGAGTTTATTGAGCTGCGTATCTCTCGCTCGCGCTTTATCTACGTATCTTCGTATATCAGGGAGGCAGGGAATAATTGAAGAATGAAATTAAGCGGCCGGGTAATTACGAGAGTCGTTAGACGGAATAATGCGAGACGTGATGATAAAAGGTACGTAGCCGAACGGCGTCTTTTCGATTCTGAATCGCCGGCAAGTGGCACAACAAGCTGGTGTGTACGCGCAGCTTTCCATACGCATACAACACGTGTATTCGCACGCTGTCATCCGGGGGAGGAGGAGGAGGAGGAGGGGGGAGGGAGGGGGGCTACGCGGCATCTCGGCTCGCGTACGTCTCGCGTATGAATCGAGCGGGATAAAGGGTGAGAGAACGGTGAGAAAGCGTCAATAGAACAAAGAGAAAAGCCAACCGCTCGCCGCGGCTCGGCTTGAAAGAGAAAATCGCCGAGCGGCGTAATAACACGCGCACACGTAAACGTACGCAGTGGCGTACGTACGGGAAGAAAAAAAAGGGGGGGGGGGACGAAAACGCAATTTTTGCGGCGATCGGCGCATTGAAAAAAAAAACGCACCGCGCGCCAGATAATTTATTCAAATTTACGCGAGATTTCAATTTGCGCTATACGGCGCGCCGGCCGTTTATCCAATGTGCGCGTAATTCTTCGTTTAGCTTGTATTATGAATATCATGAGAGAGAGAGGCGAGTAAATTAATATAACGAGCGGTGTAAATTCACGTGAAACGCGGTCCGCGGAAACTTAATTTAAATCACGTCGAATAACAAACAGAGAGGAATGTAAAGTGCGATGTAGCTTTCGATAATTACGGCCGTGTTTGATAGAGCTGGCGAATAAAGCGTAGAAACATGCAGTCGCGTTTGACTCACCGTGCTGATGAGGGGCCGAGAATGCTGAATGCCTGCGTGGTGACATGTTAGGATGATTACCCTGGCTACCTGGTGGCTGCATAGAAGACAATGCACCGAGTGGCGTGTAGGACTTGCACGGCTGTTCCGGTTTTTGCTGATAAAGAGGAATTTACGATTGAAAATATAGATATTTGCATTCTCGATTAAATAACTGGGAGAAGTAATTTAAAAAGTGGAATTTCTGTTTTCATTTTCGACAAGAGTGCGAGTACAGGAAGAGTGAGATAAATAAAGATGTAAATGTTAAAACCAAACTTATACTAACAATCTCGGAACTTTTTTAAGATAGCTCGTAAGAGTTGAAAAACAAAAATCCAATAAACTCTTACTAATTTTTAAATACTTCATTTTCATCTCTTTTAAATATCGAAAGATATAAAGATTCGTTAAATGCATTACCAATATATTTTGCAGTTAAAAACGAGGGGTAAACCGCTGACCAAAATCATATACACCAATGCCCAGTGGGCATTATTTAATCTTATTACCTTATTTTATCTTTGTAATGCCCCAGCAAGGCCTAATGCCCAATAATGCCGCAAATCTGTACACCACAATGCCCTCAGTGGTTTACCGCTCGGTTAAAAGTGATATTCTCGACAAATCACCTCTTGTATTTATGTATTTATAAAACGTTTAATAAATCATAGCCTCTACTTTTGGACAGTTTATGGACATACATGATATAAAATAAAAGTTTGCACGTGCGAGAAGCGATCTTGTAAATGAAATACAAACCTGATCGTGAAGTTCAGTAGCCACTGCGGTAGCTGCAGTTTGAGTGTGACTGGTGGAGCTGATTCTGTACTGCATACCGGCAATACTGCAAAAACCTTCGTGATGGGTGGATCGGGTTTGATTGACGTAAACACCTTGAAAAGAATTTGTTATCGTGGTAAAAAGATCATTAGAGTATTCGTGCTTAATCCACGCATGATTAATTACCAGTAATAGTGACATCGGTGTCCTGGTTAACGATGACAACTTTCTTGGATGGCTTAATAACTTCCTCCGGATCGGAGCCTTGTCTCGGCTTCTTCTTATCTACGTCCGAGTCATTTTGTCTACGTCTTTTAATTATCTCTACTTCCGACGACTCGCTGGAGGAATCACTGCTGCTGCTACCACAACGATTTTTCTCGTCGGAGTAGGAAGCAGCCAAAATGGCAGTGGCATTAAGACTGGCCATCCTTTTGCAAACAACCATGTCCTTGAGGTCCATTACTTCCTCGTTTCGCTTCCTCCTTTTGGTCATTTTCTTCTTGCTTGGCTCAACGCTCTTTTCCTTCTCGCAATCCTCGTCGGAGGAGGACGAGGATGACGAACTCTCCATCATATCCCAATGTTTGCCACGTAGTCCCGGCACATTTCGGAGTTTCCTTTTCGAAACGGTCTCCTCCGTTTTGCACTCGGCCTTCTTCTCTTTCTCTTTACGCGGCTGCTCCTCCTTCTCCTCCTTCATCTTCTTCGGCTTCTCCTTCTCCTTCTCGGGTTTCGGTTTGCAAAACCCACCAAGGTAGACTCCGCCGGTCTCATTTTCGTAGAGGCAGTGAACTTTAGCCAAGGCATTCAATGATGCGACCCTGTGTCGTTTTGGTCCACTCCAAAAGCCAAAAAGTCGCATTCGTCGCGCACGTTCGTCCGATGGTGAGCTAGCCCGCTCTTTGTTCTTGCTATCCTTTTGCCTACCCTTCTTGTACTCGTCGTCAGAATCGCCCTCCGAGTCGGATTGAGATGTAACGCCACCGACACTCTCACCGTTCATCGTCTCAACCTTAAGGTTCAATTCAACCGTGTTCTCGGCGCCGATTTGTTCCTGTTTCGAATTGGCGGTAGACTTGGCGCCATCTTCGGAAATTCTCGACTGTTTGTTAGACTCTTCGACGGGCGCGTCCTCGGATGAAACTGACGTTTGATTATTGCTCTCCGTTTGTACCCTTGCCGTTTTTCCAGCCTTCTTCGGGGCTTTGCTGCTAATTTTGTTACCGCTTTTGACAACTTTCTTATTATCCTGTAATTTTTGTTGAAGACTCTCCTCCTTGCATTTGTCCGAGTCCTCTTCAATCTCGCTTTTAATGCTGCTCACCTCTGGTCCTTGACAAGCCTCGTCTTTGCTCGCCATCTTTTTCTGCTCGGTCGAGACTTGGTCCAACTCTTTCAATTCAATTTTCTTCTTGGCCATAATCTTCTCCGTTATGGTTTTCAGCTTGTCCTCCCTCTTCAGCGCAGCACTGATCTTGGAGTGTTTCTGAGGCAATTTGGCTTTCATGTGTTTAGCCAGCTTTGGTTTCTTCTCCTGCAAAGTCTTACTCTTAGCCAAGTTGCTCTTCTTCTTCCCCTTCTTCGCCGCGTCCTCGTCCTCGCTCACTTCTTCATCTTTCACCGGCTTGACCAACTTGATCTTCTTGTCCACCAGTCTTTTAACTACCGACAAATGAGGCTTCTTTGTCAGAACTGTTTTTCTCGTAATGCCCTTCTTCTGACTCTGTTTCGTTTTCGAGTCCTTCTTCGTTCGCGGGGAAGAAATCTTATTGCTCGCCGCATCCTTCTCGGCGATTTTCTTGCGCTCGGATTTTTTCTCTTTCACAACGGAGTTCTTCGATATCGATTTAATATCAGATTTAATTAACTTGACATCTTTCTTCTTCTCATCCTTGCCGCTTCTCTTCTTCAGAGGAAGAGGGATATCGATCTTGTTTTCGAGCGCGTCCTTACCCTCCAGTGTATTCAAACATTTCGCATTGTCCTCCGCACATGTGTTATCGTCCAATTTTACGCCCTTCTTCTTATCCTCAGCTTTCTCGCCCTTCTTTTTATTATCCGCAGGCTGTTTCTCCAATTTCGCCTTCTCCTCGCATTTTTGCAACTTCTTCTTCTCCGTATTCTCCTGGCACACCTCATCGTTATTCGCCTTGTCGTCCCTCTTTTCCGCCTTCCTCTCGTCGATCTTATCAGATTTCTTCTCGTTATCCTTACCCAATTGCTTTTTCTTCTCGTCTAATTTATCCAATCGCTCCTTCTTCTTCTCCTCCGCCTTCTTCTTCTCGTCCGGCTTTTTCCTCTCCTCCGCCTTTTCTAATTTCTTCTTATCGTTATCCACCTTCCTCTTCGAGTCCTCCAGCTTATCATTTCTCTTTGATTTCTTCTCCTTCTTCGCGTCTGGCATGGTCTTCTCTGCAAATGTGCGACGTTTCTTGGCGACTGCTGGCATTTTAGTTGCCTTTTTGGCAACAACAGCCTTCTTCTGTGGCTTCATTATGATTGTTATTCTTTACATCTTCAAAATAAATAGAAATGTGGCCCGAAGCTCGCGAATGTCCAGTGCTAATTTCCACAACTACCTAACTGCCATTGTGTGGATTGTAATAATCGCGATATAAGCTCGCAAGCCTGGATCTATCTGCAAGCAGTCCCAACGCACACACACATAAAATGGTCAAAAAGTAAACATATTTACGACCGCGCGTTTACGCTACAACGCCAATCGTCAACAATTTCGCCTTATCGCGTCTCTCTCCTCTCCTTCGTTACGACTTGGCGCCGCGTCGCAAAGTATTTCGCGCGGATCGCCGAGGGGAAACGCCGTGCGGACGAGGTGCCGCGGGCTCTCCGCGCTTTATCAACGCGTAATAAAACGAATTTACGTACGACGAAGCGGCAAGCAAGCGCGCGCGCGCGAGAATCGGAGCGAATACGCGCGCTAGAGGGAGAGAGAGAGAGAGAGAATGCACGCGGAAATCGTAATGACGCTCGGCAAGCGAAGCGAGAATCCGCCGTCGGGCACCGTGCGCGCACTCTCCCCCTCATCGACTTGTTGACAAATCGATCCCTTTAAATCACGCACTGCGCCCGTCGCGTTTCGGACACCGCGACAGGTAGAAAGAGAGAGAGAATAGAGCGAGAGAGGCGGGGAGAGACTCGCGGCGATAAATAATCAACCCGCGGCACGGGGCGTCCTTCTCGACTCCGAGCTTTTCTCGGAGCGTGCGCTCCGTGCCCGTGCGTACGTGTGTATATACGCGACACGTCACGGCGGACAAAGATGCCTCGAGGTGCAGGGGACGGCACGCACGGCGACGTGCACACGAAGCCACGGACGCGAGGCCGAGAACGACGAAACGCGGCGGCGGTGGCGGCGGTGGCGACGACGGCGTCGACGACGGCGACGACGACGGCGGCGGCGGCGGCGGCGGCTGCGACGGCGACGGCAGCACGCCCTTTAAAAAGCGACCGACCGTGGACGGTCGGCCACAAGTGGCCCCGACAAGTGCGCGAGAGAGAGAGAGAGCGAGCGAGAGAGACAGAGAAAGAGAACTCACCAACCTGCTGATCGATCTCAATCGTCGCACGCGGAGAGAATCTTGACGGGCGGCGATCGCGCGCGGCGCGGCGACGCGATCGCGACGGCGTTCGACGCGGCGACAACACACGCACACGCTTTAGCGACGGCGAGAACGCGGGAGAACTGAAACGAGACGGGACGGGAAGAACGACGGGCGGCGGAGGCGCCAGTAAACGGGGTTGTCGGTGTTTACCTCTCTCTCTCCGGCGAGCCCTTCCGTCGGCTAAACTCGGCCCGCGCGCACGCTTCCTTCCTTTCGTTTTTTTTTTTTGCAAACGGCGAATCGTAGCGCCCGAACGATTGGTTGGGCGCGCGGAGCGACGACGACGGCGGCACCGCGGCGACCAGCGGGGCTCGGCGCCGGAGTCCTGGGGCTCCGGGTCGTCCGCGGCTGCTCCCGAGCGGGTTACGCGCGACCGCGAGCAACGGCGACAGGTCCACCCCCCCGGCGGTGGTTCGACGGCCCTTTTTCGCGACGGTCTATCGCGAAACTGACCAACTCGCGTCGCGCAGCGCGCACCACGCACGACGTCCCTGCCCTTTTACCGTAGCCTCGTCGGCCATTTTCTTCCTCGCGCCGCTCCCCCACTCCTCCCGCCACGGAGCCCGCTGTCACGTAGTGACGGAAGCGCGACTCGCCGGCCGTCCGCCGGGCGGCAGCACCTCGCGGCTCCCCTCCCGGCCGAGCGCGCTAAATCCCGCGACCGCGCGACGCGTTTCCGCCGTTCCGCCGTGTTCCGCCGTCGGTCGGCCGTCCGCGTGGCATTGGCGACCGCCGGTGGCGTCCTAAATCACGTGCGAGCGCGCGATCGATATTCGTAACCCGTTGACATTGCGACGGATCGTAATCGGAAACTGCGGATCTCTCGCAAGATAAAGACGAGTCCTCCTCTCCCTCGCCCTTCTTGCGCGCTTTGCCCCGACACTCGCCCTTCTTCGCGTTACAGCAAAATATTGATGGAAACGAATATAACACGTATACGTACGGATTAGCGTGGAGTATACGACCCTGATGTACATTTAATGTCTTTTTTTTTTGGTCTGTCGATAGAGGCTGCGGTCAAGCTGCTGCTAGAAATGCCTGCGAGTACTTCTTTTTCAACGGGAGCTGCGTTCGGCGATGCAAATCAGAGTCGGAGTGCTCTCTTGCGTTGGAGCGAGCGAGAGAGGAAAATGAGGTAGAAACTAGAGAAAGAGAGCACTCCGACGCCACGATCAGATTTGCAATGCCAAGCGCAGCTAATGATAGACGAAGACGAACGCCTTCGATTACAGCGACAGCTTGATCGTAGCCATAGAATTGTCATCACATAAGTAGAGGTGATGTCTTTATACGCAAAATATCGCAAAATGTCCCAGGAACGTTTTCAATGTCATTTCTTTACATTTTCGAGTCCCCCGACGTCGTTTTAACACGTCTCTAAAGCGCAAAATGGCCCTCAAAATGCAAAATAGCGTCCAAATAACGTAAAAAATCGCAATTTTCCTTAAGCCCGTATCAGACTACGGATGGAGATTGGGATTAGATTGAAATTTCACCAATCACAGTAAAGTTTACTAATCTTGAGTTTAGTAACTTTTACTCTAATTGGTCGGTAAAACTTTATTTTGCACAAGTAGCAAATAACATAAAAATGTAACACTCACCTCACCGATTTCTCCGTTGTTGCCCGATGCCTCCTGGACCTCCTCCTCCTCTCAGATTTCCTTGTGGCACTCACACACTCACTCGCGAAAATCATCGATCGCGCGAAATTTCGGGCACTCCCGTACGCGATGTGAGATACCGCGAAACTCACGAAATATTGAAGAACGACAGAACGAATTACAGCGCGAACGCCGAAATCGCACAAAATTCTCTCCTTTTCCGAAAATGAAACGGATTACACGAAATCGATAGATAAGCGCGGTGCGTAAACGAGATGTAACCGCGACAAAGTACCACGGTTTACATTCACATTTTAGATGAGTTAGTCTCGCGAAATATCTAATGCGTATATACGTTGATAAAGAACCGTCGCCTCAACAGGCAATTCGTTTCTCACAAGTTGTAGAAACGTAATAATTAATCGAGGAACGTTACTTGTTACTGATAAAGGTGTACAAATCAATAGCGTTTTATCCCTGCATTTATCGCGATCGAGTCTTGGAAATCGATAACGCAAAAGTAATATCACGCACGGAGCGACTCTCGCCACTGCCTGCCGGCTCGACGTTCGGCGAGCGAGCGGAGCGAGTGGTAGCCCGGCGAGTCCGGCGACCATCAGGTAAACAACGGCTCGCGTAACGTCGTACGATGCCGCGCCGAGAGAAAAACAACGAACGTTGAGTTTTTTGTCCCACCTACGAAATGGAACATTCCGTACTCCGTGACTGTTACTACGTTTTGCGTATCATTCTGCGGACTTATTGGTATTGATGAAATTAACGATCAATTCTGTTCAATCGAGAAAATGTTTCGAAGTAAAAATCGTTGTTGCTTAAATTCTAATTACTAAGATTAGAGATGTTACTTCAATAGTTGGTGTATACAAATGTACATTACTAAATTGCAAATCTTCATTTACTATGGGCAAAAATTATCGAATTATTTACTTTAATAATAATATAAATCGGTATTAAATACTTGATTGGAAATAGCATTGCGCGCACTATTTGGTGTTAATTTATATTTATTCATCATCTTCTTCACATTCGAAGCTTTCGTTATAAAGTTTAAATTTTGACTATACACTTCTTCTTCTTTGCTATTGGCTCCCAGCTCCTCAGACTGGAGCTGACATGGCCACGATTGACTTGACTTTACACTCTCACAATTATCCAGTGAGAAATGATCCGTCGATCGATGTCGAATCGACATCGACACCGCCAAATAGACGTTTCGACATCGATCGACCTATGGCCATAGGCCGGTATTTGTAGGCAGCTTGACTGTCTCAGTCGTAGACGTAGGGCAAGGTAGAGAGAAACGTAAGTCGTATACAATAGCCTTTCACGACTTACGTTTCTCTCTGCCTTGCCCTACGTCTACGACTAAGCCAGTCCTAAGCCTCCGCTACAATGATTCTCGGTTCTGTCTACAATGGTCGTAGTCGTAAGAATAATCGACTGCGATTGGTCAATTCTTATCGAGCGACTACGACTACGACCATTGTAGACAGAACCGAGAATCATTGTAGCGGAGGCTTAAGCGTTTATGGATCGTTCTCTGCCATCAGCCTTATAGCGTTTTCGATTTGCTGACTCGACCCGACTCCGAGTCAGAAAA